CCCCACCCCGGCAGCACCAAGCCGGTCACCGCAGTCCCGTACACCGTATCGCGCCCAAGCCCGCGTGAAGCGCATCACAAAGTTACAGACCCCTTTCCCAAGCCCTGGGCAATGTTAGGTGCACCGTCAGAAAGAAGCGGGTCAACAGGGACGAGGGGCTGCGCAGACCTGATTAAAAAAAAAAATTAGCTTAAAAAGTTAAAATGTCCAATACGCACTGAAAACAAGCCAGGCTGCGCTAGGACCCACGTGGGATGCTCTCGCCTCGCCACCCCGGTCCTTGGAAGAGTGAAAGCTTCATCCCTTAAACACCAGCTCTTCTCCTCCCCGGAGGGGAGCAGCTCCCCGAGGCGGCTGCTGGCACATCCCAGGATTTCTACGTGCGAAGCGGCGAACCAGACGAATCCCTCTCCTGCTGTCAGCCCGGCAGCATCCTCATCCCGCGCGGGAGCCGGGGTTCAGTGCGCCAGCTCCCCGTGCACACGGAAGCGGTAGATGCAGGTGTACTCGGGGTGGCCCCAATTGCTCAGCACCCGGAGTTCCACCAGCTGGTACGTGCCCATGGCATCACCCTTGGGGAAGAGAGGGAAGGAAAAAAAAAAAAAAACACAAAACTGAGTCCTTGAGAGCTCTGGAGGGCTCAGAGACCTCAGGAACCTCATCTTCTTCTTGGGGTTAGGTGCTTCAAGGGCAAAGCGCTTACCTCCAAGTAAAACGTTTGGATGGGGTCACCGTTGTGGTTGTAGGTGAACCGCCCGAGAAGAAGGCCTTCCTCCTCTCCTTCCTCCTTCAAGCCCTATGGAGGGGCAGGGAGGCAGAAAGGGAGAACCGGGGGTGATCAGAGAGGGAGATCGGAGGCGATGAGCGCACCCAGGGCAGGAGAGGGAGATGGGAGACGCAAGCGCGCTTGGCCCCCGCTCCTGCTCTTCCAGGCCAAAACAGACAAACGGGCACAGGGACCAGTGGGGAGGGATGGGGGGGAAGACTGAAAGTTACACCTACTCAATTCCCTTCTCTCCCAGTGTCCCCCAAAACCCTTCCTGCAGCCTGGTGCTCCCCCTCTCCCCCCCAGTACTACTTCTTCCTCCTCTTCAGGATAAGACCAACTCCGGGCGAGGGCACTCACATAGACAGCGAAGTCCTTGGGGGCACTGGGGATGGTCCCCTGGGGCGAGAGGGTTTTGGGGATGTGCTCCAGCGTCACGGCCGTGGGGCGGATGATGCTGGAGAGGCGGATGACAGCAAAGCCCTGGGACCCACGAAACGCCCAGCAGTTCCCGGGGTTGACGTCTGGCTATGAGCGCGGGAAGAAGACACCAGCCATGTTATCGCCATCAGCGCCGGTTTTCTCCCCCCACCCTGACATCAGCCTGGCTGCTTCCTTGGAGCCCAATAAAACCCAATCAAGCCCACGCAAGACCCAGCCCAGCCGGTCCTCCCCCTCAGCGGGGGTCTCGCCCCGAGGATGCCCACCTGCAGGATGACACGGGGGGACTGCGAGTGGTACCACAGGGGGATGCCGAACAAGCTCAGCACCGCTGTCCGTGTCTCGTAGGTCTCGGAGCAGCGGGTGTTGATGACGCTGGCCCCTGGCATGGAGAGGGGATGGCAGTTGGTAAGCTGCATGCCAGCACCCTGCGGTCCCCTCCCCAGGATGGCTGGTTCATCCCGGGTGGGCGAAAGCCCCCCCCCACCTACCTGCCGACTCCAGGGCATAGTCAACCATCCCCACGCGGTCCTCGCTGTAGCGCTTCAGGGCCTGCCCCACGATGAGATGCACTTGCTGCGGTGGGAGCAGAGGGCATGAGAGGGGTGAAAGGGCCAGGGTGGGCATCTTGCCCCCCACCCGCCTTCACTCGACGGAGAGGGCGTAAGGACCTTCCCACAGAACAGCCGGGTGATGAATCACCGCGGCAAAAACGAGAGGACACACATTTGGCTGGGAAGCCTTGTTAGAGGTTGCTAAAAATAGCCCAGACGAGAGGAGCTGCGCAACGAAGGGGCAGGACCCAGCCACGCCGGGCTCACCCGTCCCCCATCTCCACCCTGAAAGAGGGGGTGGCCCCAGGGGAGGAGGGGTATCCCCCAGCAGGTACCAGACACCACCTGACAGCCCACCCAGTCCTTCCCAGCATCATCTGCTGCTCTCTCCTGCCCTGTCCCGCAGGATCGATGGGAGCTCCCCCGATTTGGAAAAAGGGGAGCCGTTCAGAGCATCCTTCTGGAGCCAAACCCAGCCCCAGGAGCCAGGACCCTGCAGCACCACTGTGGTTCTAAATTTTACGGTGTGGAGGAAGCTTGCACAGACTGCTCATCCCAGCTCGGTCCCTCCCTCCACGACCTCCGCAGGGAATTGCCAACAACAACTCTTTCCAAAGCAAGCAGGCTCATTTTTTCCCCCCCTCGGTGTCATTCTGCTGAAACGCTTTGCCCCAAACAACTCGGTGGTGCTGCTGAAGGATGGGGGTAAGCAAGATGCTCAACCCAAAGAAACCTTGCTGGCACCTGCCCCACGTTCCGGGTGATAGATGGACGAGGAGGAATTTGGATTTTAAGACAGCAAAAGCCTCGCAAGCGTGCGGATATCAGCACCCGTGACCCCTTCCAGGGCAGGGGACAGGCAGAGCCCAGGGGAGGCGAGGGGCAGAGAAGGGATGGAGGAGTTTCGGGGATGCTCTTGCCAGGTAGGATGTGAGCCCAAGATCGATGTCCCAGCTGTAAGAGCTCTCCCCAGGGCTCTGCCATCCGCCAGGCACGCGTGCCAGCTCCCCCCGGCGCACACGCAATGGGGTACAGCCCCCAGTCCCACACCTGTGGTCACCATCGTGTCCCCGGGGCTCAGGCCCAGCACTCACCTCCTCCGTCACCCCTGCGGTCCCCCCTTGCTGCAGGGCCACTCCGACACCACCCTGAGCATCCCGTGCCGACAGCCTCCGGTCCTCCAAGATTTTGGCCAGGATCTTATGCTCCAGGGCCTGGAGCTCTGCTTCCAAATCTTCCCGCTGAAGGACGAGGCCAGCGGCACCGTCCTGTCGGGACTGGGACAAGAACTGACTGACCCATGCCGGGAACTGCGCTTCCACCTGAAATGGTGGGGACAGAGCTCAGCCCCAGGGCAGGGACCCTCACGCCTCCCTCTGCCGAATAAGGGTGGGGGGGAACCAGGGACTCACGTCAGCCCGCACCGCCTTCAGCTGCTCCAGCATCCCCTCCATGTGCTTCCCCATCACCTCCTGGTCCGACTTGAGGCTTGCCAGCTCCCTCCTCAGCATTGCCACCTCCTGCTCCAGCTTGCCCAGCTCCTGCTGGAAGCTCCCTCGCAGGCCCTCCCGCGCCGAGCTGCGCCGAGAGAAAAGCGATAAAACCTTGCGCCGACGGCCCCAGCTCCCCTCTGCAAACTGGCAGGGGGAGTTCATCCCCCATTGCCTACGCTCAACCCCATCTCCAGCCCCAAATGGTTTTAATTCTTGTGGCAACGTCCATCTTTTACTGCATCTCATGGGAAAGCATCCCTGGCTCGCCCTTCTTTCCCCACGGTGATGCAAAACGACGGGGGCGAAGGTCACTTGCTGCCATCGCCCTTTGAGCCCTGCTGCCAACCAGGGCGCTTTCCTGCTAACGCACCCACGTATCCATCCCTCCTTTCCCCCACCCCCCAAGACTGTACCTCTCAACTTCTCCTTCGCCCCGAGCAAACCAGACCTGGAAACCCCTCCTAAGTCTCACCGTGGGGATGTCACCCTGCCACCCCCCTGCCCCTAACAAAACCTCCCCCACCAGCCAGCGTTCCCTCTGCCCCTCCGAGTTCAGCTCCAGCAAGCGTGCCTCCATCTCCTGCCAGGAGAAGGGGAAGGGGTGAGACCCACGATGCCGGTGCTGAGGATGTCCTGCCCGGGTACCACCATGCGCTCATCCCCTTACCTGAGAGGCTTGTGCCATCTTCCCCAGGCGCCCGTCTAAATCCCTCTGCAGCTGGGCTCGGAGGGCATCCAGCTCGCCCTGCAAGGTGAGGAACAGGGGGGAACATCAGAGCCCAGCCCCACGTGCCCCCAGCCCCACGT